AAAACATTTCTGCTGAGTTACTTACAACACGGACTGAACGGCCGCAGCCCCAATGGCTGGCGTGCGTGCATATTGTGAATGGGAGTTTATTAGCCTATTAAATTTGATTTCTTTTGGATATTTTATTTATAAATGCTGTATATTCAATAAAACAGCATTAAAAGTGGTTTATCTCATCCACCATGTCTCGCGCTGTGTACGCGAAGCTCTGGGCTTCCACTGCTCAGTTTCAGCAGAGGCGGCACTACGCCTGGTACCAAGTCGGGTCCGTTTTTTATGATTTTTTTTAAATTTAAACATTTTCATGAGTTTATAAATGTTCTGAAACGTCTTTATGCAAAAAATTGAGCCAAATAAACCGCAGTTTCACCCCAGATCGCTCGCCCAGTGCAGCCGCCAAGCACCGCGGAACACAACGCGTGCTCACGGGAAACTTGAATATTTTTTCTTAGAAATTTCGCTGCAGCGCCGCAGAGAGTTTCAGCTCTTGTTGAGTAGCTCCAGCGCGTCTTCTTTGACCTCAGCATAGAAATATATTTGTATAGAATGATTTATATATAATATATATAAATATCTGTATGTATATATGTATGGAGATACAGTGTATATATCTATATGCGTAAACACATATGTATATTCAGGGTGAGTGGGGGTGTGCGTGATGATGCAGATATATTTGTTGCAGCACGTTGTGTGTAGAGTTTTGATTGTGAATGAAAGCATATAAATTAAATTATTTGTGTTATATGTGTTTATTGCATTGTTTTTTGTGTTTTTATTGTAATAAATCTGTATATTTAAACATGTTGTATTTTGCTTGTTTCAGGTCTCGCCTAGGTCTGTGGGCCGTGCCAGCGGGTATCTGGTGCTGCTGGTTGCTGTTTCCTGCGCTCCCTGAGGAGTATAGAAGTGCTGTTACTTTTGGTATTTGGAAAAAGCCAGATGTAGGGACGCAGACGACGGAGTTCTGAGCGGATTTCTTCTCTTTCTCGCCGTATAAGAGAGAGAACAAACGGCTCAGCATGCATGCAGATGCATGCATGCATGCACCTTTCTCTTTCTCTCTCTGAGGTTAAGCTGGCTGCACGCCTGCTTCATATCTTCTCCTTCTCTCCCTTCTCGC